ACAGCCCAGAGCTCCCAGCACGGGGGCTCTGCACCCGCTGCACGCCCCGTTACTGTAGCAGACCTGGTTCCCCTTCACACTGAACCACAGTAGAAGTGATCGGAGTCTGCAGCTTCCCTACAGGCAGGGAAAATTCACTGGGGGAGCTGAACCAGCAAGCGGAGTTTTGGTTTGACTGGCACAGGTACCTGACCGAGACCCATGCTTCCGAGCCTGCTCCAACACAGTTCACTGCTCACAGTACTGCAGGCTTCAGAATTCACTTAGTTAGGTAAACAGGTATCAGATGTGAACACTGAAGTCATCAACCTCCCCTAAAAGCAACCCTCTTACTTTTTACAGGCAGCAACAGAAAACATTGCTGGATACGCACTCGGCAGCATTACTCACCAGGCCAGCACCCAGCATCTGCTAACACTTGTGCCTTAGTGCTGCAAAGCCAGTCAGTACATCCCAGCTCAAAGCCTCGTCCCAGGAAACACCTCACCTTTGTCAATGTGAACTTCTAGTATCTTCTTCTCCCTAATGATTTTTCTGCCCGTGCAGCTCTTGCAGCGGTCCTTGGGGCTGATGCGCTCCCCGTGCCCCTGGCACTCCATGCACACAGACTGGATCTGCTGCACCATTCCTGGCCCAATCTGGTGAATTCTGATCTGCATGCCTGTTCCTCTGCAGTTAGGACAGCACTCTACGGCACCCTTCTTGCCGCCACGACCTGAGAATTAAAGTTGGAGACAAGTGGTTACGCACTGCCAGAACAGACTCAGGGAAGCTTTGGAAGCAACTTGTGTTTGTGTTCCTCGGTCACCTTCACATTTGTCACAGATAACGTTCTTCTGCAACGCCAGCTTCCTTGTTGCACCATTGTACATGTCCTCTAGACTCACGGACAACTGATGGACCACGTTTTTGCCTGCAAAAGAACACGGGTGCTCACTCAAGTTTGAAAGATCAGTCTCCGAGAAACAGCAACCTTCTCACATCACTGTGCCCAACACGCACAACCTGAGCCCCTGAGCCTCAGCACCCTGCTTCATCTTGTTTTGCTGCTATTAAACAACAGCCCATTCCCATCTGAAGTCAAACCAGTTAACAGTTCTCATCGCTCTGCCCATAATGCTTCTCTGCTAGACTAAGTCAGGGACTCTCCTGCGACAGGACAAACAGAAACAACAATACACAGAACCACAGACATTTACATTTTACAATGCAGGACTGGAGTTTTAACCAAATGACTGAAATTCTCCCCTATGAGGAAGTTGGAGAAACTGCCTGGACTCGGCAAAGTACTTTCTTCCTCTCCCCAAGGGACTTTCCATAAACTGAATTGAGCAGTTAAAACCCTTTTTCCTTCCCGGTGTCACCAGACCCACAATAAGAAGCGACGGGGTCAGCACCCTCTTTAAACTAGTTTACTTAACACTAGAGTCTTTCCCAGTGTGATTAATCTGGACTTTTAATTTCTGAGCAGCATTTTACTGCAGCTTCAACTCAAATCCACTGAGCAACACAAGAAAACAAAGAGGTTTCACAGGCGGAATTTGATTTGGCTGCCCTACTTAGACGCAGTCACTTGCAGTTAAAAGACCAGACTCGCATTTGGCCACAACGCTCACGGTAACTGAGTTCAGATATCATTTTCAGGTACCTTACTCTTTCGTTCCCTATTCAGTCTACTAGCAGCTGCGCTTGGGCTCAGATAAGGGCTTTCCAAACCTTGCATCTGGTTAGTGATTAACACGAGACAACGCACGAGGGACCAAACTACCACTGTATGGCTACCACAGCTCTCACCCACTCGTTTCAGCTGTGTTAAGGGCTGGGGACAACGTCTGCTCCGACTTTGAGACCAAGCCCGTACCTTCACTTTTACACTACTTAAAGTCTTGCAGCATTCTCCTCAGAGACTGGGACTCTGCCTACCGCAGGACTCACGCTGTAAAGTTCGGGAGAGTGTCGGCAGATAGCACGTTACCTCGTCTCTCTCTCTGCATCCTCCCACCGCCGCCAAAGAACATATCGAATATGTCCATGGGCGACCCGAATCCGCCACCAGAGCCACCCTCTTTGATAGCCTGCTCGCCTCCTTTGTCATACAGCTCCCTCTTCTTCGGGTCCGACAGCACTTCGTACGCTTGGGATATCTGCTTGAACTGCGACACACACGTTGTGGCTCAGGC